ATAACTGTAATTGATCAAACGCACCCATAACAAGCTTTAAGGGGCAGTATGAAGATATAATGTATGTAGATATTTCATTTATGAAATGTTATTAACACGTAAAATTAGAGTAAATTGTGTTTTTCGTCTTTGTGGTTTCATGAAAATATCGTTTATGTCGATGGTTTTTATTTGTCCCTGTTTTTAATTCGTAACTTGTTTCAGTTTTTGTCCGTCCAATTAACACTGTTATATTTTAGGTGTAATTCTGAGGCATTTTGGTCGTTTATTTTTCTTATTTTCTTATGAAAATATTATATTGAATTACAATAATAGAAGAAAAACAACAATTCCCCTCTTGTAACCCTTTGCAAATGTGTTTCTCCTTAATTGATATAACAAACAGGGTTTAGGGAAGAAGTTGCAGGTTCAGAGATAGAGAGGGTGGGATGGGGGTCGGTGTGTGTATTAGCAGAGAGTATTTCGGTGATGAAAAATGGGACAATCGCCATGAGGGCTTGACCGGGTCGAGGGAAGGAGAATGGGGGTTTATGTCTGTATACACACATGCGTGCGCACGCGCACACACACACACACATATATATATATATATATATATATGTGTGTGTGTGTGTGTGTGTGTGGGGTATAAAATATTTTTATGTCAACACAAAAGTTATTTTGTTGAGGATCACACCACGATAAATAGATCATTGTTTTGACAATAAATTATGGATTTATTCCACGTGGTACATACTTTCTATTTGTAGTAGTCTTAAAATCAAAATAAATAACCACAAGAGTGATGCTTAATTGGTTTGAGTTTGACTTCAAATGTCAAAAGTATTAGGAGGTCTTAGGTTCAACTCCAAGAAGAAATAAAAATTCCCCTTGTGATCACGGAGGTTCAAATACGATGAATCCGGACTATCTAGAAAGCAAGTGATCGCCTTGAGATTAATCTGTTCGAAAAATTAAAATAAATATATGGATGAAATTCATGGTTTATGTTTTCGTACATATCGACTCCCTTTTAACGAAATAAAAAGAAAATCCGTTAATACAGTTAAATCTAGGGACATTTTCGTCTTTCAATCTATTTTTGCTTTATTCTATTAACCAATTTTAAATTATTATTAATTAATATTATTATAATAGATTAAACAAATATACACACACACATATATTACATATTATACATTCTTAACCCAGACCACCTGCAGCTCCATTCTCGGCCACACCAACCACCGCCTGCAACTCCACTCCGACCACACCCACCACCATTTGCATCTTCTTCCGGCAAGAACACCACCATCAGCAGCTTCCTCTGACCATCATACCACCACTTACAGCTTCTTCCGACCACCCTACCACCACCTATAACTTCCTCCGGCCACCCAACCACCACCTGAAGGTTCCTCCGACAACCCCACCACCACCTTCAGCTTCCTCCGGCCACCCTACTACCGCCTACAACTTCCTCCGGCCACCCAACCCCGACTTGCAGCTTCCTCCAGCCACCCCACCTGCGACTTCCTCCAACGAGATCCACGACCCTTTTGTCTTCTTACTCTCAATCGAAGGGGTTGTTTGTTTACCTTTTAATAGTTCCATTAATAGGCAATTTCTGAATTGTTAAGAAGTGAATCTTGTTTGACAAAAAAAGTTCTGCCATTTAATGATTTTAAAACCCTCTAAATGATTTTGCATCATGTGCCTTCCTTAACCATTAAGAGCCCTAATTTCATTGTAAACAATTGCCAAATAATTATATTTCATTTTGCATAATATTATGAGAACCTTTTAATCATTCTGACCACTTAATGATTCTGTATAAAATCATTCGGTGACTGCAAAACAACCCCTAACTAAAGAAGAGATCCATGACCCTTTTTGGGTCTTAGTTTTTGTCTTGTTTCTTTTGGTTTTTGCGTTTTAGGGTTTTAGGTGTGTGAAGATGTGTGTATATATATAATTTCATTGTTGGCCCCTGCAATATATAGATATATAAAATGTCTATTTCAAATTCAAAAAGAAAAGATTTTTTTACTAATGTGTATCTTTACGTAAATTTACATATTTATCTTCTTTCTTTCTTAACCTTAAAATCGAGTTTACAGAAATACATAGAACATTTACGTAAACTCTGGTTAAACATGATGCATCGCTAAACAAAAACGGTCACCACACCACGGATCTCCTTCACAATCAAACGAAAATGGTCACTACATCTAGCAGCATGGTGACCCACCAGACCACCTCTGCATCTCGAAGCAATTTTTCTCACCATCGTGCATTCATTTTGATCCAAAAACCTCGATCTCCTTGCCCTACCCATCACCTTATACGGTGTTATTCCGGAAATCTAATTGAAGCAAAACCGAAGAAACAAAAAACCCCTATACCATCATTGATCGAAGCCAAATCAAACAAATTTTATTGATTTTGAATAATGAAATTTGGGTAAAAAGTTGATTGCGTGCAATCTCAATCTGCCCCACACGAAACTCGCCTTCAAGGATACCAAGGTAAGAGCGATTGAGGCTAATGGGGGCATGGGATCAAATAATGATATTGCTCTTGTGCTTGGATTTTTTTGACAATGGAAGTTTGGTAGCTTTTGTAAGTCACCCGGGAAGGGAGGTTGTCGGCATGAAATATGTAGCCGAAGAAGGTAGGCAACGAAGTAGAAGACACGATGATTGAGTAGAGGAGAGGGAGACAAAACCGTACATTTCAAATCCCAAAAATCGAAACCCGGAATCAAATTAAAAAACCTAAATCAAACCTAAACCCAAAACCAAACAAAAACTATCATCAAAACTAAACCTAAATGAAGATGGAGATGGATTCCACATTCATAAAAACGTTTCTGTTGTGATCCCAATTTGTTACATGAAGATGGAATCAGATGTTGGGAATCGGGTTTTATGGTTAATATTATTTGGATAATTTTCTAGATCGTGTTTGGAAATTACTTTTCAAATACTCTATTTTGCCCCTACCATGCCTTGGGTTTTCACGAAATCAGTATCGGGATAATCTAGAAAAATCATACGCGAAATAAGGCACTAATTTAGCATATAGAGTACTTAGATCACGAAATTATGTATTTACAATATAGATCGACAAATATGACGGATGGATTAGGTCGAAAAGCAGTTACAACCAAATCGAGCTCAAGATTCAATCAACCAGCACCATCACTGAACACGCATCCAACGATAGGTTGTGTTCAGTGATGGTTGACTTCCAGCTATAGGTGGCATTCAGCAATAGCTGATTCTTTGCTATATGAAATCTGTCATCTGGTTCAACCCATTTTCAACCCTAAATATCCTCAAAATACCGTCACTCCCTCGTTCAAAACGCTGTTCGAAGCATATGGTCATGGCGGTAATAATTTGAAAAATATGCCCGCTCGAGTAATTATTTTGTAAAACTATGCTTGATCTTCATTTGAAAAATAATCCCACTTAGTTTCCTATTTGAAAACAATGTTCAATAGAGAGATGGGCGAGTTACGGCTCGACATAGATCGCAAAGCTACTGTTTCACTAATTAAAAAATATTAATATTTAACTTTTATGTAATTATTATTTATATCTATACTATATTATAAAGTATTTGACAAAAAAAATTTAAAACTATTTTTTATGCATGAAGTATTGTTTATTGATTCATATTACTTAAAATTCAAGATTACAAGTAATTATGCATAAGTACAACTTTTTATTCTTAAACAAAAAATAAATTATTTCATTATTAAACTTAAATTAAATTATAAATTAAAAAATTACACAAAAATGAGAAATCTTAAATAGTTAATTTGATACTAATATCGATATATATTTGTTAAATTTTTATAATATCTTCAAATTTATATTTTATTTAGAAAATAAAAAGAATATTAAAATCAAAATGTATCTCGCTGCTGCACGAGTACCATTCTAGTTATATTATAAGGTATTTGACAAAAAAATCTTAAAAACCACATTTTATGTTTAAAGTATTGTTTATTGATGCATACTACTTAAAATTTAAGATTGTAAATTTTTTGTAATTTGATATTAATACCATGTATTTTTGTATAACTTTTAATTAGTTAATTTGATATTTTTTATGTATAACTTTTAAATAATTAATTTGATATTAATACCATATATTTTTGCAAATTTTTATGATAATTTATATTTTATTTAAGAATAAACACATTGTCGTCTTTTTCAAAAACACATAAAATCAAAATGTATCTCGTTACTTTGTACAAGTACCCTTCTACTATGCATTAACGAGTAACAGATAATGGATAACAAAAAAATCTTTGATCTACACACACTATCTATTTAATGTTGGATAAACAAATAATGAATAATTTGATAAATACATAAATTTTTATTTACCTATATGATCAAAACATAACAAATAACAATTTTATCTCGACCCTTCATAATTATTTTGTTAAATAAGATTCACTTTTTAATGATTCAGAGATTGTCTTTTAATGAAATTATTAAGAAGGTAAATAAACAACCCAACGAATTTATCTTTACATGTTACGACCCGTAATAATTTTAATATATTTGTTTGAAATAATTGATTTTGCAAAATAAAATATATATTTATTTCATTTTTTTAATTATAAAAAGCTTGATTTGTTTGACACAGAAATCAAATACAAAGATTTAATTGTTGTCATGCTATATAACTTCATCACCTTCCTCCTCTCTCTCCCTCTCTCTCTCTCTCTCTCTCTCTCTCTCTCTCATCGCTCCCCCTTTTCTGTTGCTTGCCTTTGCATCACAAATCTCTCTCACTCCACCCCACCTCCAATCATCTCCCCAGCTTCCTCAATCATATCCCATGTTCTTCACTTGATTCTCTTTGGGATTCAATCCAATTCAACCATATTACATTTTTTTTCATAATTCAATCATGTTTTAATCCATTTTCTCATCTGGGTTTTCAATTTTACACCAAAAAGATTCATAAACTTTCCATTTTTGTGTTGTTTTTCCGCCATGGATAGAGATTTCTTCCTTAATGCAGGGCTCCACTTCGAACCCTCGTCTCAAATGTCGTCATGGAAGTTGATGGCATCGGTGCCGGAGATGAATTGTCCCCCGGAGCAATCTTCCGTCGACAGATTCAACCATTTTGAATCGGCTCTTAGCTCAATGGTCTCCTCCCCTGTTTCCAGTTCAGTGGCTAACAACGATAACTTTGCTGTTCGTGAATTGATCGGAAAATTGGGTAGCATTCGCAATGGTGGCGGTGAGGTTTCTCTGGCTGCCATAGCTCCGGCGACGGCGACGGTGACAGCTCGTTACAACAGTAACAATACTTCATGTTATAATACACCACTGAGTTCACCACCATCGAAATTAAATTGGCCAATCGCCGATCATTTTGCGAAAGAAACAACACCCACTTTGCGAAATTCAATCCCGTACGGCGGCGCTGGTTTGCCGTCGCTGGCGGCGGATCCTGGTTTCGCAGAGAGGGCGGCGAAGTTTTCTTGTTTTGGTAGTCGGAGCTTTAATGGCAGAAGTAGTCAATTAGGGTTAAACTCAAACAACCCTGATTTCCAATCTAGATCTAGTGTTTCACCATTATCAGGAAATGCAAAACTGCATCGTGTTTCCAGTAGTCCTTCATTGAAAATCGATGGATCTGCCATGGCCGCCATTCAAGAAAACAAGAATCCAACCGAAACCCACATCAACGGGTCGGGTTCTGATAATAAAACCAACTCCATTGAAGATTTCTCTGCTTCTGAACAAATGGGATTCAAGAATCAGAACGATTCGAATTCTAGAAAGCGAAAATCATCATCTTCAAGAGGAAAAGCCATGGAAATTGCTTCCACGATTGTAAAGGTAATAACCAACTACAAACCCATTTCAATCAAACAACTTTTTTTAATGATAATCGGACCATGATAAACACAGTGGACACAACTGTTGTATATGTTAAGGAGACAAAGCCTTCTATTGGTCATAATTGTTTTGTACACCTTAAATAGAAAGATAGGAAGATGGGATATTCCACCATATTTCAGAACATATAAATGGTCACAATTGTTGTGTATGTACTTCATAAAAATACGATATTCCACCGTATTCCCATGTCTCAACCACTGTGCCACAACCCGTGCGGGTTTTTGTTGTTGTTGATGATTTACATTCCAAATTCATCCACTTTGAATCTTGATTGTTTCAGGAAGAAGGTAATGATGATTCGAATTCGAAAAAACCGAAGAAAACAGAGAAAGAGAGCAAAACAGAGATAGATACAAATGGTGAAACAGAGAAGAAAACAAATCTTCCAGAACCACCAAAAGATTACATTCATGTTAGAGCAAGAAGAGGCCAAGCAACTGATAGCCATAGTTTAGCAGAAAGAGTGAGCTTTCTTTCTATCTGAAAACAACAAAAATGGCAGCTTTTTTTTTCAAACTTCAAGATCATGATTCCAATATCATCACTGTCATTATCAGGTTAGGAGAGAGAAAATAAGTGAAAGAATGAAGCTTCTTCAAGATCTTGTTCCAGGTTGCAATAAGGTAAAAAAAACCATCAACTTTTGGCCACGAAACTAACAACATTGGGTTCGGGTACTGATCGAAAACGCCGAAAACTGATGTGTTCTTCTTTAGGTCACCGGAAAAGCACTTATGCTCGATGAAATCATCAACTACGTTCAATCATTACAACATCAAGTTGAGGTAACGAAAGAAAACCATCGAATTCGTGTTCGAAATCGACTCATTCTCGTCTAAATCGATCCGCGTCTTCTTGTTCTTGCAGTTTCTATCCATGAAATTAGCAACAGTAAATCCAAGATCAGATTTTGAAATCTCCAAAGATGTAAGTCAACTCTCTCTCTCTCTCTCTAAAAACCCATATGTTTCTCTCTCTAAAACCTTACAAATTTGAATTTCCTTTTGTGGGTATGTTCTAAATCTGCAGATGAGTCAATCAAATGGGAATTTATCTCAACAATTATACCCAATCGAATCATCTGCGTCAGATTTCTATCAGCAAAACCCACAACAACAAGTACTCTTCATTGGGTCTACTCCGATCACCCAATCTCCGGTGGACCCATTAACCCCTGTTCATCGATTCACCGAACCTTTCTCCCAGGTTAAATAAACTTTTTACCCCAAATTTTAACGTTGATTCAACCTTAAATTAACAACCAACGATTCGAATTTTTGATCCAGTTTGCAGGATTTGAAGGCGATGATCTTCATAGCATTGTGAAGATGGGTTTTGGAGACAATCGTAATAATCAAACATCTGAGATGAAAATTGAGCTCTGACCATCGATTGTAAATACAAGAAAGGGAGTATTTTGAGTTGGATTTTAGAATAATTCAAGTGTTATTTTTGCGATTTTATCCATTTTTAGGTCTAATTCTTTTGATCTTTGGGTTAATTTCGTTCAATATGTATTGTATTATAGAAATATTGTGTGCAGTGGAAGGTTAAAGAGACACCACATTTGTAATATATATTATATATAAATATATTTTGTTAATCAGAGATTAAATTATAAGTGGAAATTTCCACCAGCTTTCATTCCGATCACTGCTTTGCATGTTTGTACCGTACTCTCATTTGATATCACGTGAGACCAGTCTGTTTTCGTAAGATTATTTTTTTACATTGAAACTTCACAACAAAATACTATAAAGGCAACATTTACAATGTTTTTGCTGTGAAGTTTCCAAGATAAAAAGTCCGTTGGAGATGTTCTTATTTGAACCGAGGACTATCATCATAATTACAAATGATAAGATTTGTTAAATTATAATGTAAATATTTAAAATTTAATTTTAAATATCATGAAAAAAGTTGGGGTTTATTAATTAAAGATATTTTATTTCAATAATTAAGGTGAAAAGGCATTAATTGATTAGATTAAAAGTAATTAATTAACAAAAAGTGTAATTAATGTTTAGAATTTAATATTTAACATTTAATAAAAAAAATGAAGAGTAGTAGAAGAATCCCAGGTTGGCATTGGTGAATCATGACTCGACCCACTCCATACAACAAAGACTTTTTATTATTATTATTTATAGTTAATATTTTAATTTAATATTAAAACTCGATGTGATGAGAGAAAAGACGACTCAATTCTAGTGGAGTTACAGGTACTTAAAAAGATGCCTCTTATATTATATATATATATATATATATATGTATGTATATATACATGTATATGATCATGTGAGAAGGATTGTTAAGGCGATATATGTAAGAAGGGATCTGGACTCTTGATTATCTTAATTTTAAACTCATCTATGGATCGCGTTTGATACAAGGATTGATCCAGTGTATCTCATTCTAATGTGCATCTAAGGGTCGAGATATCTTCTTACCTTTGTCACCATAACTTTCATTTTAACTGGAACCCAACCATATATATAAGGTGAATGATCGTGTAAGAAGAGAATTTATGTTGAGAAACATAAAAAAATATCTAAATATTTGATCACCTTTAATCTCATGAATTGTGTTTTAGAAGGAAACTAATCTGGTGCATCTCAGTGTACTTTATTAACGTTGATATTCAATTAGGATTGACCTAAGAATAGAAATCTCTTATTACGTTTTTCACTATACCTTTCTTTCTCGCCTGAACACAACCAGAAATTACAAAATAACATGTTCAAATATGCTTTTGATTTTGATTATGATTATGATTATGATTATGATTATGATTATAATTAGAGGTTAGTTATTAATAAACCTGTTAGGTGAGAGACTTGTCCCCCATCCAATCATTTTGCACAACGTGTCTTTGGAAGTTGAATTTATTTCATTTTTTAACCACAGAATTAATTACGCAATGTTTAATAAATTAATTCTTATGATATTATGTGATAGCTTAAGCAATATAGGTATTATTATTATTATTATTATTATTATTATTATTATTATTATTAACGATATCATTTGTTTGTTTTAAAAGTTTCGGACTTTAATTTGACATGGAACAAGCGTATATGAATATACCTCCGCTTGATATCCGACAATGATAAAGGATATAAAACTTGAAAGAGGTATTTCATAAATAGAATATATGAGTATGAGGCGATCATAATGGGTTCATAGAAACGTTTCACATCGATGAAATCATATATACTAATGTTTTATACATATCTTGCATTACACGAGTCGAGCTGATGAAATAATGTCGTTTGCTAATTTTCTTGCACGGAATGTGCCGCCTTTTTCACGGATAGGGGATGGTCCCCTTACGGGGGGAAAGACGACTACTTGAATTTGATAGATATATTTGTTGACCGAGTTGAGCGAAATAGATTAGATCTATATCTTAGGCTATGTCATTCACGTAAGAGCTTTCTCTGCTTCGAGTTTGTGATAAAAAGAACTTGGATTTCTTCGATCTAGTCAGTCTTATAATCAAATTATACATATAGGGGTATGTTCAAACGAGAACAAAGTCAAGGTATGAGAATGGGAGCATGTGTATATAAAATGTAATTTTATACTAGAAAATCACATGTGATTAAAGAACGGTCAACCCAAGGGAGTGCTTGTGTGTTTGGCCCGATGACCTCGACGGTTTGATGGTTCCTTTATTACATGTGATCTTATATTAAAACTGAAGTGGTTGGTTCTTGGATGACAGTTCATAATTCAATAAAACTGAGTTGATCAAATTCAATTACTATTTAACTATCATCCAATTATATAGGGTTGGGTTCCGATGAGAAGGAAAGTTATGGGAGAAGCTTAAGAAGAAATCTGCACCTTTGGATCAATCATAATTGAATGATAACACCAATAAGGTGTAGCGAGATGCACGAGATCAATTTCCTTCTAAAGCATAATTCATGGGTGGGAATGAGATTAAATATGATCAGAGATTCAAATCTATTCTTACCTTTCTCTTCTCACACGATCATTCATAATTGAAGATCAATACTAATGTGGTGCATCAACATGCACCGGATAAATTCTCGTGATAAGCATAAATTATGGGATGGAGTGAGATTAAAAGTGATCAAAGATTCATATTTACCCCCATCTGTCTAAAAATAAGTGTTCATATTTCTATTTTAGTTTGTTCCAAAATAAGTATCTACTTTTACAAGTGTTACTTTCTCATTTTTTTTACCCTTAATTATAGGATGGAGAAATTTCTGTCTCCATTATTAAGGATAAAAATATCTTTTAATTAACTAAAAACTATAATAAATACACATTTTTAAAACTAGAGTATTCGTGCTATGCATCGAGACACATCTCGATTTTAATGTTTCGTTTTATTCTTTATCTATGTCGATATAATGATAATAATACTGTTTTATGTGGTTTTGAGAAAATGATAAATGTTTCTATTTTTGAATAAAATAGAAAGTTTAAAATATCATAAAATTTTAAGAAAAAATATATGGATATCAATATCAACTTAACAATTTAAAAGTTCTTGTTTTATGTAATTTCTTTTATTCAAAATCTTTATTATGATTTAATTTAAAATAATCTAATTTAGATTTAATGATATAATTTTTTATAAAGATAATAATTAAGTATTTTGTTAGAACTCAATGTTTATCCTAATGATTATTTTAGATTTTTTATATTTAAAATGTGATGTTTATCCTATATCTGATTATGTTTATCTGTAGTTAGTTACACAAATTTAAATATGGAGCTCTAATGAGTTATAATTACGCACAATCTACTTGAATCTTGAATTTTAAGTAATATGTATGAATAAACAATATTTCGTATATAAAAGATGATTTTTAAGAGTTTTTGTCAAATGTTTTATAATATAGTATAGATTATAGAAAAGAAAAAATATAAAATAAACACGATAACTGCAACATTCTTTTTAGACATACTCGTAATAAAATACTAAAATTCACTGCTGAATCACGTATTTGATTAAATATTATATTTTTTAACATTTTTTGTATTAAAAAAGACAAAATTTTCATCGTTGTAGGCCGGATTCAGTGCATGAAATTTTAAAAAATAATTCATTTTAAATTTAATTTCATTTTTCTTGTAAAATGGATTTTAATTCTAATTTTATATTAAGCCAAGTGTTATAATTTTCAAAGCTGATAAAATAAATTTGTGTTAAAACATATTATCGTCCCTTTTTTATTCTATTTTTATAACAGTTTTATCAAACTCTTTGAACCTAAAAAAAGTGGCTATTTGATAGTGGCTGAATGTAAAATGATTAAGTGGTCAGAATGATTAAAAGACTCTCATGATATAGTGCAAAATAAAATATAATTGTTCGGTAATTTTTAGTTTTCTGGTTTTTTCAAGAGATTTTTCAAGGTTTTTTGGTTGATTTCAATGAAATTTTTTGGGTTTTGTGGTTGATTTTGAGATACTTTTTTCTGTTTTTTAGTTGACGTTTCATGTATCTTCTAATATCTCGAAGCACTACTCAAAGTTTAGCGAGTACGCCATTCAAACCTCAAAAAAAATTACTCATGAAAATTGGTTGAACGAGTGCACGAGACCTTCCTCAACAACTCATAGGTCTGCCCCCGATCAGTTTCACTCAAATACTATTTTCAACGCTATTCATAAAACAAATAACATAACCTTCATTGAGCTTATATTATATTTTATGAAAGTCAGTGTATTATTAAACGAAAAACAGTACATAGCAGAAAAATAAAAGCTATTTCAACAATACAACCGTTAAATTAAAACAGTATTCTCATATTATTGTATTATCGATTTTTTTTTCCTAATTCTATTTTCTATCATATATCAATTAACCGAACAGAAGATTCAATTTAATACAGTTATAAATTTCTTGTCGATACGATTCGTAGTTTTTAAGTGATTTTTGATTTTAAGTTTTTGTAGCACACACTTATGTAAAAAAATGCACGCTAAAATTATATGTTATACATTAAATGTAATTAAAAATAGCCATTAAAACATTATTTATTGGCATTTAATAATTTTCTTCCTGTTTTTATGGTCATATTCTAACTATATCTTTCCATAACGATTGGTTGATATAAATTCGTATAAAGTATACAAATATATAACATGTATCATATAATATATATCAGTTATTAAAATGTATTGTTTTTAATCTTATAGAATTTGCAGTATATAACTTGATATGTAATTTAAACAAAAATGTTGAAGAATTTTATGAGATTTAAAAAGATATTACAGAGTCTATTTCTGTTATGTTTTTGACTTCCACTTCAGATTGGTTTTTTCCCATTTGACAATCATGCGTCATAAGTCTTGTGCTTAGTAAGCTTTCTTTTCATAGACTACGACCACACGATCTCAATTCAGGTTTAATTTATGTTTGGTTAGGTGTTGTTGTCAACTCGTACAACGTTTTAATGGTAATGCTACGATAAAACTTTTGTTAAAGGGGTTTTAGTTTTCATGTTTGACCTTGCAAGTTGGTGGCGTACTAGTTCGGTTTCTATAAGCAACAACAATACGAGTGGATTTCACTGTCTTTTGCAGCAATAGTGACTTAAGTTATATTCGGTTTAACCCCTGATCAAGATACAACGCTATATTGGTCCCAATTACAACAACAACTGTGGCATGCTGACGCTATTCTAAGCAACAAAGCCACTTTCACTGTTCTTTTGCAGCAACCGTGACTTAAATAACAGCTATATTCAATTTAAGTCGTGATCAAGATACAACAGTATCTTCCATTTCATTTACAACGACAACTACTATAGTTGACCTTAGCCAATTAGGATCTATATGGTAATGCTTCAATCTGCTTTGATACATAATGAAGGTTTAAATCTTTTTTAAGAAACTACTCTTTATTAGTTGCTGTTTTTTCAACCAATGTAAACATCGGTTATATAAAATCCGCTTGTTCAAACTGATTACAGTATATTATAACTATCAGTTTATGTAATTTACAACCGTTTAAAAAAACCCAGATATAAAAAGGTAAAAATGTTTGTGTGTGTGTGTGTAATTAATGTGTGTTTGAGTGGGTGTTTGGTGTGTGTGTGTTGTTGCATGAGTTTGGTAGAAATAGTAAAGGACAATTATTTGGTTCACCAACCAGACAAAAAAACACACCCCCTTTTGTGGTATCCAACTGTAACTATGTTTCTTGAAAATCCAATTTGGTCCTTTTTTTGCTTGACAAGCAACTTTGCATTATGTTTTTACCCAAAATCTTTGGGAATTTTTAACCAACTTTTTTGTCCATCTACTTCTACCAAGTCCAAACCCAGCCCCAGGGGGAGGGGGGTGGGGTGGGTGGGGGCGGAGAAGGAAGAAGGGACACATTAGTTTGTAGAAGATTGAATGTCCTTTTCGTTTTATTTATCATATAAATTGGAACAACATAGAAGCTATATGTATTATTTTTTTATTACTAGAAAGGTACTCGTGCAATGTAGCGAGATACATCTTTATTTTATTGTTTCGTTTTATATTTTGGGTCTATCGATGTTATAATGTGACTTTATGTGGTTTTGAGAAAAAAAAATGTTTTTATTTTTGAATGAAATATAAATTTGAAGATATTATAAAATTTAAAAAAAAATAAGCAATAATAGTATTAAATTAACTATTTAAAAGTTGTTGTTTTTGTGTAATTTCTTTAATTCAATTTTTTTATTATAATTTAATTAAAGTAATAAAATGAAGTAATTTTATTTTTGGTTTAATAAAATAATTTATTTAAGAAAATAATTAAGTATTTTGTTAAACTCAATGATTATCTTAATTATGTTCTGGATTTTTTATATTTAAAATAAGATGTTTATCCTCTATTTGATTATGTTTATCCGCAGTTAGTTACACGAATTCAAACATGGAGTTTTAATAAATTGTACTTATACATAATTTACTTGTAATCTTAAATTTTAAGTAATATGCATCAAGAAACAGTACTTCATGCATAAAAAATGGTTTTTAAGAGTTTTTGTCAAATGTTTTATAAAGTTTACTTTTGGTCCGTAACGTTTGTCACTTTCAACGATATTTCGTCCCTCAACTTTTGGTCAAATGCTTTGGTTTTGTTTTTTATTTTATAATAATATAATATATAATATGAATTTTTAATTTTAATAAAAATCAAGAAAATATATAAAATGATTAAAATACCCCTCATTGAACTAGATGTAACGGAAAAAACTAACTGTCGTTAGACTGAAGAACAAAGTCTTGTTGGCAATTGACAAACGTCAAAGATGAATATATTAAAACAAAGTTGAGGGACATAAACCGTTGAAAGTGACAAACGTTAAGGACCTTTACTCTTATAAAATTTATTGATGTATTCAGGAGTAAACTATAGTTGAAAATAACAATTTTAGTCTCTATAGTTTTGAAATTAAAAGATGGTCATTATAGTTTACAAAAACATTTAGATTTAGTCCAATTCTCTAATGATCGTTTAAAAGATTATGTAAAATGAGGGGCATTATTCTTCTTTTATTGATTTTTTTTAATCTTTTACCCAATCAAAATCGATAAAAGAACGAAAATAACTCTCATTTAACGAAACTATTTAACGGTTTGTTAAAGAAAAGAATCAAATTTGAACGCTTTTACAAGCCAGAATGGTCATTTTATAAGTTCGAAATTGTGGGGACAAAAAGTGTTACTTTTATAATCCATAGGGACCAAGTTTGTAGTTTACTCTATATTTAAATAGATTGCAGAGAATATTAGTAATTCAAAAAATGAATCCATCAGGGTTTTATTTTATTTTTAATAGGTAAGAGTAAAATGATTAAGTTAAAGAAAATCGGAAAGTTTAAAAGTTTTTTTATTAATCAGGATATCTAACCCGTTATGTGCGAGCCGATTAATCCCAGTGCGAGCCGATTAATACCAGAGCGACCATTTGCTTCGCTGATAGCACGGAGTCACCGTATTTGAACATCCGTGGCCACAAAAGTATTTTTATTCCTCCTTGGATTCAAACCAGGAACCTCCACACGCTTTTGACCTTTAGAGCCCAAGTTCAAATCAATCGGACACCACCATTGTGGTTAAGTTTAAAAGTCAGATTTCGTACTGAGTGCACATAAATATTTGATTATTTTTATGAAGTATTTAATCCTTGTAGTTATTTATGAAATTAACAAATAGATAGAAAAGTGTTAGCATGTCAAACCAGTTTGATTCGTTTTTAACTGGTGTTGAAAAAATAGCGTGATTGACTTTGTTCAATGTCTTTATTCCTTCCCATTTTACCACTTACACAAAGTTCATATTCAAAAAAAGCGGGTTTCTAGCTGTCAAAAGTTGTTCACTATCATGAAATGAAGTGTTTTCATATATCTTTCCGTGATTGTTTTTCCAATGGTTCTTGTCCTTTTGAGTTGAAGAACATGATTACATCCATCTACATTAATTAAGATTGGGTTAGTTGATTAATGATTGTTAACGTCAAATTTGTCAAGAAACGTCCATTTCTCAGCTAAAATGAGTCAAACAAACAAAGAGCGACTGAAATACGAGACCATGTCAGACCAGACGTACACAACAACTATATTCAGAAATAAGATATGGAGGTAAGATGTACACAAGATACGACACATACCTTATATTTATTCCAAGGATTAGGGAGATTGTTTCCGTGAATAACCACCGGCTTAACAAAAGTTTGTGGACTGATCCCAGAACGAAATACAAGACATCGTTCAAAAAATTTAAAGTGACAGTCTTTTTCTTTCTTCATTAACCTGGATATCCAACCTACTATACGAGCAGACTGATCCCAGAACGGTCACTTGTTTTGTGGGTAGTTCGGAGTCACCGCATTTGAACCTCCATGGCCACAAAGGGGATTTTTATTCCTCCTTGGATTTGAACCTCCATGACTTTTGACCTTTAGAGCCCAAACCAATCAGATATCATCCTTGTGGTTAATCACAATCTTTAAGTTTCAAAAATAAAACGTGTGGCAATTTATTTGTTCTTCAAGTGGCTATCAAAGTGTCAACAATAAGACAAATAATATTCTCGTGGAATGACTTTATTTGATGATAAACAGCAAGTTTAAGAGGACATAAGCCGTATGATGTTACGTTATATCTTTGCTTCATTACTGTATTTAAAATGATTAGTAATAATTATTAATTAGAAAAAAGGGTTGAATTTTATATCTCATAGAGATTCCATTAGAAAGTGAAAATCTTACCAAAAAGAATGTTAATAATAATTATCAAATCTTTAACCACCAAACTCTAATTTAATCATCCTTCCTAATTATTTTGACACCCCACAAACATCAATTTTTATTAATAATATTTAATTTTGTACTACAAAAATTCATATTTTAATTTATGGCAATTAAATGGATTATTATACTTTTTTTATTTTATAAAAAATTTATTCTATTTCAACCAAAAATTAAGTACTAGACGATAATGGTGGTGGTGGTGGTGGTGGCAGTTCCAATAGACGGTGGTCGATGGTGGTTGTAAAGGATGAGGAGGTGGTGGACAATGGTCGTGGGCGCCAGTGGTGGATATGGAGGTCAAGGGGGTAGTTGTGAAGGAGATGGTAGTGGCAGTCGTTGGTGGTGGAGATGGTTAAGGTGGCGACGGTGGTGGTGGTGGCGGCGGCTACAGTGGGCGGTTGTGGCAATCAAACCAAATATAATATTAGAGTTATATCAAGTAAAGGTAGATTGTTAAATTTTTAGTAGTGTCTCATTTTGTCTCATCTCGGTCCATTTATCTTGGTGTGACAGGAAAATGTCAAATCTGTCCCATCCTGCCCCTGTCCCATGTTGATTAAACGTGGAACTGTGAGTTTGTTCATGTCCTGTCAAAAAACTTGTCCGATGTACCAAACACAACCTTAGAAATTCAAAAAAACCAGAGTCTAATTATGATTTTTGACTACTTAGGACCGTCTACTAAACACTTACCTGGTAATAGCTTACCATGTCACTTACCTTATCGGATTAACATGTCAATGATCAAAAATCTTACCCTATAAGTGCAACTAATAAGGACCAAAAGTCTTACCCGATAAGTGAGGGTGACGACTCTTACCCGATTAGTGTTTACCCGATATTTTTTTTTTTTGCAATCTGGTTCCGAATGCCCGAGCCTAAAAACAAAGAGGATAACAGTAGTCCAACAAATAAAAGCAGAATTGTACTACTCTCATTGTTATTCGAGTCATCTTCTTTCAACAGCATTACCAGTTTTTCGGCACGAAAAACCTTTTGATCAACGCTAGCTTTCCTCCGGCCAGCTTCGTGGAGTTGAAATGTAGTTTCTCGTGAACCAAATAAAGCACGAACAGGAAAAGGGCAGCTGCCATYGACACCCCACTGATCACWAATAGAYCAYGCAAGTCTTTAAGGTTTAGAATTTTAGTTGTAGGCGTAGAATCCACCGGTTGTTGGTTAAACCACTTATTCTCCAACTTGTTTAAAGTCCCATCTTCTCGTAGTCTGGCAATCTGTCTCGAGATCTCAGGGACCCAGGATGAACCTCGTGCAAATACCTGCAAACTTTATCTGCATCACACTACAAACTGAAAATAGCAAAAGTAATGAAAGTTACCGATGAGGAGACTTACSAAGCCAAAACCATTAGTGGTAGCTTCAGAAACGGTCATGGAGTAACCAGAYGGGTATTGTGCAAGGAATTCCTTAATGTAAGGAATTTCATCGACAATTGCATCAATACCGCCTTTCTTACTCCCACGTGACAAAGCATCGGCATATGCCTCTAATGYGGAATACAACTTCAATCTGGTGCCCWGAATYGAGTTCTTATTATATCCTCTGTKAAMGAAAAAGGAAGGCGAGWATCCAAYCGAATTTCTCTTCGATGCTAACTGAATTTGTTCGACGGTTAACAACGAACTCAATGTTGCAGTGTAGCTTGAAGTGAGCACCAGCACTACAAACAACCATACYATCACTACAAATCTTGACAAATTACTCTGCAGCTCCTGCCCTGCGATTACAAACACTTGCTCGGTTTCTTTTGTCCAATTCATGTTTTCCGATGCATATTGGAGTTTGATCGTTTCCTTTGATTACCACTATGACTATTTCGTTAGACTTAAGGTTACAAAACCCACTAACAAAACCTGCTTTATAGGATGCCAAATATGTCTAATGTGATAATAGACTGTTTTATAAGACTTATGATTGTAGGACTACACAATTGCATCACATGGTAACACCTTTATATATAGGACATACAATTGTTTGGTCGTACGAAACAGTTTATTAGGACATTTAGAAATCTCTAGCGTTACTATAAAACCGGTTTTTGTAGTAGTGACCCAAACTTTTGCCATGGAAGTAGAGATATTATTAATCTAAACTGAATGGGCTGGCGTGTTAGAATATGTAAATGATACATATATTCTTAGAGATAACAAGACAAAGAAGATGTCAGAGCTTACTATGAGCATAAACAAGAGTCAAAAAGGCAAACCAAATGGTTGTTCCGACTTGTTGTCCTCGTGAACCTTGAAATTCTTGATTTGTCCGATGTTCAAGAATCCATATCACAAGTGCCAGTAAAATAAAAAAGCAAGCAGACGCAAGCCAAAGATTTGAACTAAGTGGTTCCATAAAGATCCATWYGCTTGCATCGGCGTCTCGTGATAGTGTCGCAAAGCCAAGATCGGTGTATGGCAATGTGAAGTCAACATATCGAGATCTGTTAGCTGTGATTGTTATATCTCCAATGGCAGCATCAAATTCCTGATGAAAACAATAATGCCATRCAACAGATTAATAATGCTCTCKGTGCATTAATTTGCTTGTGCCGAAAGTCATGTAGCTAGAATATATTGATTACAAAGAGTACTGGATTAGAGAATATGCATACCCCAGAATGGACTAGATCTATAAGATCGTTGTAATCTATTTCTCCAATTTTAGAATTATTCCCAATTGGAATGTAATGTAAGGCTACATCCGGACCTAATGCAGTGAAGGCAACTTGGAACACTTCTGCACAAAACCCTGAAACGACTGTCGAATTAGTTTGAGCATCATAATTCACTTGAAAAATTCCCCTTGATCTAGAATGGCGCTGGAACGACAATTCTGAGGTTTTGCTACCCAGTTGCTTGCTATGTGATGTAATACCTCCTGGCCAGATGATGGCTTTCAGGCCATCCTTGGAAAAGGAATTTTACTTACAAATCTTTTTGGTGAAAGCAGCATCTGTTGTCCAAAACCCAACCCTATGTTTCCCTTTACCTATCACATTTACTATTTCTAGCACTTGTGCAGTAATCCTCCCATTCCTAAATTGGAAAAGACCACCTAAACCTTGAAATGATATTCTTTATCTGATTCAGAAGTGCTGTACTCTTTTGGCTGGAGCCACTCGTTTCCAAATATTTCGATTTAACAGCTTGCATGCTCTCAACAGACATTGCTAGTGCTGAAACTGCATCATGTGCCCAAATAGCATAAGCATTTATGTCCTTGACCTCCATCAATGGGCTCCTACCATCATATTCCTTTCTCCTTTCCAAGTGAATTTACGAAGTTCCCTTGATTGTGGAATATATGATTTAAAACCCACTGCCCCTTGCATAGACTCGATGACTTCACCATCCAAGAGATTTAAGAAGTCCATAGTCTTGCTAGTGATGATCCATTTGTATCCCTCACCCATCATTCCTAGATATTTTGCATTCAGCAAAAGGTCGGTTGCAAGAGAAGGTGAAATATGCAACACATACTTTTGTTCGCATAGTCGAAAGCTTATGAAGCTCTTCCTAGACAAGTTCATAGCTAGCAGAGGTTGGAAGTAGGCTCCTAAACGTTATAGATATGTTCTTCTCTCGGAAGGCATTGGCCATAAATGTAGCCATATCCCTCCCATTACCAGTGTTCTCACAAATAACGATCAAATTCTTCCATCCAAAGGATTCTGCCATTGCAGCAATGCCATTAAATTGAGTGGTTTCATCCTGTGTAACTTGAAGGAAATAAGGATGCTTGTTGGAAGATGGAGTCGGTGAAAGTGAAAGAATAGGTATTCTAGCTTCATCTCCTAATACCTTCAGGAACGTTTCTTCAGCTGTCGACTCTGAACCTATGATCGCTTGCACTTTTGTCTTCTCCAAGAGCTCAAAAGCTGGTGGGCAAGATGGAATTAGCAATCTACTCAATGTAATTGGGACTAAAGAGTGTTGGAATTTTGGTGAGTTTGGAAGTTTTTCCATCCCACATTCGTAGAAACGCAAACTGTAATTGAGTTTATAAGCCTTTACGTTCGAGTGGGTTTTTAATGTATTGTTGACCTTATGATAGGGTTCTATGAAAGTGTATCGCACACGCAAGGAGGTGCACTTGCATCTTTGATAATAAAACATGGTTTTTATTAAAGTTTTGATCTTTATCAATAAAGCTTCAATCTTTATTAATAAAGTTTACAAAATTTTAATCAATAAAGTTCCAATCTTTTATTTTGAAAAGTTTTCCTTATTAAACCATGAATATCGACTATCCTTTTAATCTTTCAACAAAAACTACCCCTTCAAGTATCTAGTACATACATGCTAACCAAGCTACAGGTTGATGCACAGCGTCACATGGTTTTAAAGGGCATATCTATACCCAAGTTTGGGTATCAGTTGCATTCCTTGATATTTTAGCCACGGGTATAAAACGGCGGATCTAGAAACTTAGCTGACTAGGTCAAACCTAGGGGTGTCAAAAAAAATTCTGAAACCGAATAACCCACCCAAGCCACATGTAAGGGTGGNGGCGGATCTAGAAACTTAGCTGACTAGGTCAAACCTAGGGGTGTCAAAAAAAATTCTGAAACCGAATAACCCACCCAAGCCACATGTAAGGGTGGATATGCCAAGATGCAAGCTACAAATGATTTCTAAGGTCCCAAAACAATAAGACATCCAAGTGCATAAACAATCTCACAACAGATGCGAATTAATTCATCTGTTGGAGATGAATGTATTTTTTTTAAGACTTTTGATTCTCCATTTTAGAGAAATTTTGGAGAATTTGTTGGAGATGCTCTAAATTTCTCCAAATTTGGAGATCTCTCCGGAACATGATTACCATGGGAGAGAAATGGTGTTTTTATTATATTCCACCAATAGGTAACCATGAGAGAGATGGTTCTTTAGAGATTTTGAACTTTGGTTCTCCATTTTGGATAACTTTTAGAGAATTTGTTGGAGATGCTCTAAGAAAACATTGCAAAAGATCTGGCAGTAACAAAACAAAGAAATTGAGATGGAACAACAATTTATTTAAGAAACCAATATATATATATAACAAGAACAATCAGCAATGGGGTCGGTGTAATTTCCAATGGGCTCACGAGGATAAAATGCTATGGAGAATTAGGGTAAGAAATTTTTTTGAGTGAAAATGAAATTTTAAAGAGATATGACTGGGGTCAACTGACCCCATAACCTTTTATAATACTTACCGGTATGTAGAGCATGCAGTGTTTCTCCTTGGATATCCCTGTTGTGCAGAACTATCCTTGTCTGATAGTGACTGTTGACCTTGTAAAACTCAGATAATGTGATGGTAATGCAGCTATGAATGATCTTTCCAACCCTTGATCCCATATCTAGAATCACTCCCACCGGGATCTCTTTGTAGGATGGATCTTCATGTGCTTTTAAATGTAGCTGAAAGTAAAGCAACATCAGTATTAGAAACAAAAGGTTTGTTCTCTTCCTGCCATTGATCTCCATTATTGAATGGTAAAAACCTCCTATTGCTGCAAGTGAAAAAATATGCTATGCTTTTCATTTAAGTCCATCTTTTCTCTTTTTATTAATTATTCTCATGAGAAGGCTTCATTCAATCAATTATGACCACATATACTCCACATGCATCATTCAAGTGCTGAACCCAAAAAAAATGGTGTTTAAATATTATATTTCCTAATTTTTAAATTACAACAGTAAAAGGTAGGTGATGGTTTAATGAACGAAGAAGGCTAAACAGTTGCTAGTTGAAAAGGATTCAGATGTCAAAACTGCCTGGAAGTTTATTTATTCCATCGACTTAAATGCCGTCTGTTTCAAGATGGAAATGAGCAAAATAAAGAGATTATCAAGAATGTAACCAATATATAAAGAAATCAAATTGTCGACCACACACGGATCCCTCAGTTTTGGTGTCATTATGCTAGCTTACGTAGTTATATTAAGCTAAGGCTTGTAGATATATGCTCATTCAAGAAGAATTTCAAGCAATTTCTTTTTTAAAGGCTAGGAAACAATCTTTTGACTCCACCAAATAGAAATTATATAATCTTCTTTAGTCTTTACTTTAAGAAATTCTGACTGGGTATTGGAGCAACCATTAAGGTTCCCCCTTTACTGTTGGAAGGCCATTCTTGACAAACCCATCAATCATATGAGTCCAAACTATCCTTTGTATAAACAAGTTTAGACACCACAAGCTTCTTCAATGAGTCCATGATCATGGCAAAGACAAATCATAACCTCCCCCATGGAAGCATTTCATCAAACATTTGCTTTGCATAACCAAGCTATAGGTTGATGCACAACGTCACATGGTTTGAAAGGGCATATCTATACCCAAATTTAGGTATCAATTGCATTCCTTGATATTTTAGCCACAGGTATAAAATGGCGGATCTAGAAACTTAGCTGACTAGGTCAAACCTAGGGGTGTCAAAAAAAATTCTGAAACCGAATAACCCACCCAAGCCACATGTAAGGGTGG